TCTTTTAATCTTTTAATACTGTCCTGTGGACAGTATAAATAAAAGGGCCTCTCAGACCATCAGTCTCGGGGGCCTCCCTAGAAAAGTGTAAATGTGGATAGAGGGCCCCTCAGATTCATTAGGAGTGGACCTCTCTGACTATCAGTCTCAGGGGCCTCTTGTGGCCAGTATGAATATAAGAGCCTCTCAGACCATCGGTCTCAGGGGCCTCTTCTGACTAGTGTGGATAGAGGGCCCTCCCAGACCACCGGTTTCAGGGGCCTCCAGTGGCCAGTTATATGAACAGAAGGGCCTCACAGCCATCAGCCTCGGGGGCCTCTTCTGCCTGGTGTGAATATGAGGGCCTCTCATACCATCAGTCTCAGGGGCCTTCTCTGCCTAGTGTGAATATAAGGGCTTCCCAGGCCATCAGTCACAGGGGCCTCTTCTGACTATTGAGGATAGAGGGGCCTCCTCTGACTAGTGAGGGTAGGGGGCCTCGGCTAGACCGCCAGTGTCAGGGGCCTATTCTGACTAGTGTGGATGGAGGGGCCTCCCAGACCACCACTCTCAGACCTCTGACTAGTGTGGATACAGGGGCCTCCCAGACCGCCAGTGTCAGGGGCCTCCCCAGACCAGTGTGGATATTGGGGCCTCCTCAGATCCACTAGGGCCTCTCAGGCCATCAGTCTCAGGGGCTTCGACTGACAAGTATGAACAGAGGGCCTCCTTGGATCCATCACAGCCCCTTGGAGTCCGTGCATGGGGATTCGTGGAACTTATTTTTACCGAGTTTGTTTATTCTGGAAGGTGACGACGTCCTCTCAAATCGAGACGAGGGGCCTCGAGTAAAAAGTGGGTGGGCCAAAACACATGGTTGGCCCCCCCCACCTCGAAAAGTGGGTGGGCACTTGCCCACCTGCCCCCCCCCCTGTTCCTACGCCTATGACTAAATGTACAGAGCTATTTAAAGCGCAACCAATTTGTTATAGGCATTTCTTTGAGTACCTTATCCATTGAACTTCGTGAAATTTAGATAAGACGAATTCAATTTTGTATTTGAAGCAGTGGTTTCACATATTTCGTTCCTACCTTTGTAATTGGAGGTGAACTTGCAAATTGCACATTGATAACAGATATAAATGCAACCTTTTGCTGCAGCCAGTAGGTACCGTTGCTCATTCAGTCAACGATCCCGTTCATTCTCTCCGTTACATCCTCTCTCGCCTCTGCCATCTCCGCTGCCTATTCACCGATCAGTCCCGTTCGTTTTCTCCGTTCGCCCTCTCTCGTCTCTCCTATCTCCGCTGCTCCGTCAGCTATCAGTCCCGTTCGTTCTCTCTGTTACACCCTCTCTCGCCTCTCCCATCTCTGCTGCTCAGTCACCCAGGCCGGGAGGCCGCCAACCCAATGATGGCTCCCATGTAAGTTACTCGCCGAGACCGGCGCGCCGCACGAGCCGGCTTTAATTAGGCCGCTGATGGCCGCCTGAAGTGGCGCCCGGACTTTGCTCTCTCGCTCTCCCGCCCGCCACACACACCTCCTCTTCAGGCGGGGTTCATCAGTCGGGTGGCGGTGTGGGACACAGGGAGAGTCGCCGTCAACATCGCTGGTGGTTCAGTGAACTAAATTATAGTCTGACAAACCTATGAAATAACGGAGCTGACGTGCCTCAATTAACAAGAGCATAGTCAGGCACGGCAGCAGTACGTACGCTGAAGAATACAATATAGATGCTTGCGAATGCCAAAACGGGTTCTGGATGTCCATTCAGGCGCTGAAGTTGAAAGAAATGTTTTTTTTTCCTCATGTGACCAACTTACATATATACTACAATCTCAAAGCAACCAGCCGGCATCATTGGGCATAGGTCAGAACTCAGAAGCAGGCATTCATATTGATGATGCAGGGCTCAGCCTTGCTTTATTCATGGGCAAACCATGCTGCTTTCACGGGCCATGTTACGTCATTTATTCGTCGCTAATGAGATGTAAAGTTATTGGATGCTTATGGGAAGACTTTACGCTGTGATGCGATTTTTTATGACAGAGCTGAATTAAAGTGGGACGATTTACTATCATATTCCAGAACGCTCAGAAGAGTTACTTATTTACCCATTTTTTGCTTTAGAATCCTTAAAATTGTGTCTCAATAAGGAATTATTTTACTTGATGGTGGATCTCTCGCCTAGCCTGGTCGATCATGCCCCAAGCTGATCATAATTGCCGCGATCCCTTGCAACCACATCTATCTTTATTCCACTACACGGGATTTTTTTTCATATCAATGTAAAATTACCATTCCCATGACCTTTGACATGACTGCTATCAACATGCCATATTTAGCATGATCTGAGCTGCTGAGAGGGTTGGGGATGCACACATGCCTCTGATGAAGATTGCTGTCCTCACTGGTGACCAATTCCAATTACTTTGTGTTTTACCGTGACGAAATGGGTGGCGTATGAGCTCGTTATGTCTTTAGAGCCGAGACTCCAGCTGCTTTCCTTTGGTGTCTGAGCTCATTAGGGTTTCAAACGACCATCGAATGCAGAACGGACCCATGCATATTTACCGTGGGTAATGAAAAGTTTCAATCATTTTGTCATAATATGCAGAAGGTTGATGGCAATGTTTTGCTAATTGTAAATTGTTGAAATTAACTGGCGAAGCATGGAGCTGGAGTATAAGTATCGTAATTTAAATGAAAAATATTCATTTCGATTTAACAGTATTGTGCAATGATATGTTATTTATCTAACGTTGGTGCAGCACTGTTCTTGCTGTGAACCGTGAGTTGTTGTTGCGGAACCGTTACAAAGCGGCAGAACGAACAGAATTTAGAGGAGGCTGCCTAATTTAGTGTTTGCCAGGTCCTGACATTGATGGGTGGTCTCGCTTACCCAATAACAACAATATATTTCCATTGTCGGAGAGTAATGCGATGGAAAATAAATGGTCTTCAATATCGTCCTATTTGCGAAAACCCAGGAGAGAAGAAACTACATTAATCTTACATTGGTGGAAGAACGCCACCAGATGTATATTGAGAGAAGAACTGAGTGATTGTAATGGAGAAATGTCCTCCTAACGAGTAAACATAACTGCATACCGATCGCATTTTTGTTGTGTTGAGTTGTTGTGTGCTTCAATATTTTACAACGACGACGAATTAATAAGGCTTAGAAACCTATATTTTAAGTAGCTCTTCTTTCAATAGTTATTGAATTTTAGGCAATTTTATACAAGTACGTGTAGCCGGCCGTCACCTTAAGCCCCCTCCGCTCGCTGCCACCGGCCATCGGCCCTATACCGGCGACGCGCCTGCCATTCACTATAGACTGCGACATGACTCGTTCTGTATAGTACGCGTCGGCCGGCCGATATGCACAAACGACAGCGAATCGCCGCGCAGGTAAACAGAGGGCCTCTCTGACAGCGCTGGCTCGTCGATAACAGCAACAATGTCGCATACGAGCGGTCTGACGGTGGCAGGCGCCTCCCTGCCCCCACGGGACTGACGGCGGCTGTGTGTCGGCTCGCTGCACGACTCCTGACTGTAGTGGTGTCGTCACGGCGCGTGCCACACACAGGTGACAGCTGTCGCTCCCGACAATACCCGCATGAAATGTGTCCGGGGAAAGCAGTGGAAATGTGTGTCAGACGCCAGGAAATGTGTGCCATGCCAGGTGGTACGGTTTTACTGTCATGTTATCTTGGCTCGGTCCCTCTGTAAGGCCAGAAATGGGCTACATTTTGCGTGAAAGTGATAATACCAGTGATAATGCCAAACAATCTGTGAATGAAGAAAAATATGAATGAAATTTTAATGTTTTTGTAATCTTTTAAACCGATTGTATTGTAAGTGAACCTATATCAAACGAGGCGATCCGACAGTTTGAGCTTGTTTATGTGCCTGGTTGCCTTCCTGACAGTTATCCGCCTTTTCAACTAAACTTTATGACGGCCATTTTAACCCTTAACTCAAACGCCGAGTCCAACCGATCCGAGTTTTTAAACCTTATCGCTCGCGCCACGCAGACTGTGTTTGACTGTGTGTTTGCGCCACGTGAATGTGTTTCAATTCAAATGACGCTTTTTTTCTTCTTAAGACTGTCTTATTCAGGTAGGATTAAGACCAAATCTTATTATGGTCATTATAAATATTTGGATGGTGACAGAAAACAGTTTTTATATTTTAAGATGCTGTGAAAGACATCTGTTGACCTTCAGTGGAAAGTCGAAACTCGAAACTGGAATACTTGATTCCACCATTCCTGACACATAACAAATCACTGCAGTATGAAGTATGCTCTGAAACTGTCATGAATCGTGATCGAGTGCTGCACTTTCAGCAACTTTTGATTCTCCATGGGATAGGCGCACATCACTCTATAACTCCTACAAGCTAGAACAACCATAGTTCCTAGCTTTGTAGTAGATATCACAAACATTACAAGTCACAATTTGCTGCACTTGTGTTTTCCGCTGGCATCCAGAGAGCCACAGAGCGACACCAGACGTTAGCGGTCGGTCGGTGGGCCCCGCCTGTGACATACCTGTGGGCCCCGCGCGTCACGGGAGAATGCCATCAACTGCCGCCTGACGTGACTGTAGGTTACGGGTGCCGTGGGTCTCTCGGGGCGGAGCCGGACCGGGTGCCGGAACAACGCCACACCTGGGTAGAAACGGTGATGGTGTGGTTACTGGTCCACCAAATAATAAATGGAGATCGTGGCGTATGACCAGTTGATCTATCTTGCATATAATCGGATTTCACAACGTTGATGAGCATTGCACAGTTGCTGCTGATCGTAGGCCAGGCTACTTGACGCGCGTTTTGCTGGTTACTGATATGAGGACGGCAGGAAGCATAGGCAAAGCTGGCCATTGAAAATATGCGGTGACCGGTTTGGCATGACTCGACACTTGATAAGGCACGAAAGACTCGACGTAATCGACATAACTGTCGGTGTCTGTGTGTTTAGTGACATCTCTAACTGAAGCTCGGTTGTTCCACAGCGCTGGCTATGACGGAGGTAGTCAAACTGCAGGGATCCTCCGCAGCCGGCTCCCAGGCCACCGCCACCTCTGTGGTTCCCCAGGAGGACGGCGACCATCGACAGCGGCCCAACAACACGGCGCCCTTATGAGAGCGGGCCTCTGGCGCGGCCGGCCGTGCGCCGCCGCCGGCGCCGGCCGTGCACGTGGTGGAGAACCCGCTGCCGGCCGAGGAGCCGGCGCTGCGGCGCCGGGTGTCGGCCACCGGCCGCAGGGGCGCCGCCGACTCGGACGGACCGCCCAGCTACGCCTCGGTGGTGGGGCCGGCGCGCGGCGCGCCCGACTGGACACCGGAGGCGGCCGCCGACTGGCCCGACGAGGACGACTCGACGAGGGCGCACTGCGGCGACTCGCCGCTCTCCAACGGCGTCGAGCCGGCGCTGCTGCCGGCCGCCGACATTTACTCAGATGCCAAGGAGTTGGCCATCTAAGTAATTACGTATATATGTAACCCGATGAACTGATTGATCCAAAAACCTGCAGTATTTTTTAGGTGTACGAGACAACGCTGAGTGTTTCCTATCATTGAGTGGAGAATGCCTGTGACTAGGAGTGATGCTGCTATGTTGTCAGTTCATGTTTTAGGCATATGTTGGAAGCTCTGCGAGCATATCAGCATCGCATCGCTTTCTGCTGTGAGGTGTTGTCCATAGTTCACTCACGCCCATTCAAAACACAACTATCAATCGCGGAAAGATTAAACCGCTGCACTGTTCCCTATGTAGAGTGTGGACACGACAGCTCTGTCCTGGGTGAATTCGCCTCTCCCTCAGTGCAGTCTGACCGGGCAGCGCTTGATCCCGACTTAGCTCATAAGCTAACCTGTTAGTTCACTCGCCATGTCGCTAGTCAGGTACGCTATATTACTGATCCAATGTGGTTACAAGGGTCTGAATTAAGAGCCTAAATCAACAGGTTCAGTCCTTTGACGTTTAATTACATTGCACGACCAACAAACGCTTTATGCGCTGAATCATATCGCTGATTGGTACCTACTTTAACCCTCGCCGGCCGAGGAGGGGGGGGGGGGGGGTGCCGCCCCCCCATAAGGTTTTTTTCGCGATAGCTCCGAACACGCTGGCGATAGAGAGTTGAAACTTGGCATACCTGATCGTTGATTCAAGTCGGACCTTTTGACTTCAACCACAATTTTGGGTCAGGTCAGGTCACTGACCTATGACGTCATAAGTGAACCTCTGCATGGTCTTCAGATGTCGCAACTTCGCAACGCCCTCACTGCCAGAGGAGATGTCACAGGGAAATGAAACTCGCAGGATCTAGTATCCATTATGAGTCTCACAACTTGTATATCTCGGATTTTTCCTAAAGTTCATATAAGGTCAGGTCATTTTCGTGACCTCACCATTATAAGTCAATGGGGAAAAAATGAAAACTGCTATTCTGGCGCCGAGAACGATCTCCAACTATCTCAAGCACACAGAATCGTGATTTGATGCACTCCTTGCAAGGTTAGATGCGTCACTTTTGCAATGTTGACCTTCCGTGACGTCATTTATGACGTCATCAAGGTCATATAGTTTTTCGTCAATAACTCTTGATCAAATTGAGCTAGCGAGTCGGGAAGGCCACCAATTGACTCAGGAAGACCTGCTGAATCGAATGATATGCGACATGACCTCTTTTGACCAACTTCGTGACCTGGGGGTGCTGACCTGACCTTGACCTGAGGTCAACACCCCAAGTTGACCTGACCCGGACAAAAAATATATCATTCGACGCGCCTGAGCAAGGCGAACACGATGCTGCCAAAATCGTGGCTCTGCGGCCGTTTTTTGCGAAGTTATTCACCAAAACCTGAACCGTACCTTGGGGCACTTGACCTGACCTCAGAGGTCACCGGTTGACCTAGGACCTTAAAATCGGTTACCAATCTCTGCGTCTTGTAACGGCGCACACGCTCGTTTTTTCCGCGACGCACTAGCTCCACCAGGGGCGAAACGGCAAGGGGGGGTCGTACCCGCCCCCCCCCCCCCTCGGCCGGCGCGTATGTAGAAAACCAATAGGTCCGGCGAGGGTTAACAGATTATACAAGGCAACTAATGATATAGCGCTCCTACCGGAACCTGATCATTGCGGAATGATTTTGCCGTAACGATTTCATCTATTTACAAGTAATACTTTAAGTGAAATGTGCATACATATTGTACATTTAAACCAGTTTTGCACGAGCTTAAGATCATTACACCAGTAAAACGCCTTTTGGGCGAAGAACGAGCGAGCGAGATGGTGAGCCCTGCACGTGCGGAAGGGCGAGAGGGTACTTCTAACGGGCTTGCGCAAAGCGCCCTTCTACCCGGTCGCTAACGGTGTACCAAATTTGAACGCAATCGGCCCAGCTGTTCCTGAGATCTTGAAGCGGCATTCTGCACGTGCGCACGTGCAAACGGGGTACAAACTGACTTTCGCACGGCACCCTACTAACTGGTCCCCAACCGTGTACCAAATTTGAGAGCAATCGGCCCAGCCGTTCTCGAGATCTGGGAGCGCCCCCTGCACGTGCGCACGTGCAGTAGCACCTTAACCGCAACACATGGGAATGCATTGCCTGGTGGGTGCCTACCTGTATGCCAAGTTTCAGCGAAATCGCCCCAGTAATTACCGAGTTATTAAAATGGGAACAAATTTGACACCTCTTATTGTTGTATTTTGCACGTGCAGTGGGGGTCACTCACATAGATCAAGAGTGTCCGACCATTGGTAGAAGGGATGCAGCTACCCTACAAAAATTACCGCAAGACAATCGCCCAAGCGGCTGCTGAGATATGGGCCTCTCAAAATCACTACTTTTGCAAAACTGCTTGAACACCCTTGACATTTCACGTGGCACGTGCCACGACGGTCACTGAGATGTATCAAAAGTAGTCAATTACGGGGTAGAAGGGATGGGGCTACCCAACAAAAAAGACCGCAGGCCAATCGGTCCAGCGGTTGCTGAGATATAAGCCTCTCAAAAGCGTTACAGGCCGGGCCGGGCCGCTCATACTGAGATTTTTCCGTTATATTGAAAAGACTCGCTTCGCTCGCTGCGCTCGCTCGCTCGTAATCAAATATGACAGAAGCTTTAACGCAATTTTTCGTTTCAATGCTGTCAACAATATTTCGACAATGTCATCTGTTCGCCTTCAGTGGAGAGTCGAAACTCAAAACTGGAAGATTTGATTCCAACGATCCCACTTTGTTGATAGATGGCTAGTTGTTGTGATTCTTAAATCTTAAATATTTCCGGACCATTTTCTGCAACGGAGAGGGGACAATTAGTTCCGCTCAGCGACAATCTCCTTGGGATCTTATTTGGTCTCTTATTCGAACTGTTTCCATCTTATGACATCTTCACTTAATTAACGTGCTAATAACCTCAGTGGAAATGCTCAAGCAACTAACCCTCATACACCAAACATACAAATAATTATGCAATCATTCCTAAAAGGGATGATTACATAATTGGATGCCATTATTTTATAGTGCAAGCAAGTCGTTGCCCTTTAACCCGCGCCCTGGTGGGGGGGGGGGCTATTTTTTGCCCCCCCCCCCCCTCCAGACTTTTCGATATATCTCCAGAACCGCTGCGCCGATCGTCACCAAACTTTCAGTACCCTCCCGGACATCAATTTTACACATTGTGACCAAAATTTTTTCCAAAGGCTATGATAGGTTGGCCGGAAATGACGTCAGAGTGACGTCATGTTCTGCCGTTTTCGACCGAAAAAAGGGTTTCGCGGGAAGAGCTGTCAGGCCTATAGCTTTGCAAATACAGAAAAACGATTAGGACATAAAAGCTGTAGAATTGACAGGGCTACAAAACTGCTATCTCGGATTTTTGAAATTTTTGGATTTTGACCCCCAAAAATCAAAAAATAGATTTTTTGATTAAAATAGCCGAAAAATCCAAAAAGTTTTTTGAATTTCGAAAAAAACGGAATATATGTGATAGTCCCTACCGCCTTCTATCTACATACCAAATTTGAGATCGATACCTCTTTTTTTGGCCAAGTTATAGCGAAAAAACTGTTCAAAATTGATGACGTCAAATTTTCAAACTCAATTTTTAGCAATTCTAGACCTCGTAGCGCAAAACAAAGACCACCATTAGACTCCCCGTGACGAGCTGCATCGAATCAATACCCATTTTATGCAAAAATATCAATTTTGAAATTTGACCTTTTTTGACCTGACCTTGACCTGACCTCCACCAGAAAGTGACCTAAGCCGTACCTGATAGTCTTATAACCAACACCATTGAGTTGGAAATGAAAAATTGGCCATAAAACATGCGTCGCACAGCCTTAGTACCTAAAGTTAGGTTCATGTGACCTGACCTGTGGGCTGTGACCCTTGGTGACCTGACCTGTGACCTGACCTGGTAATGTCAGTGACCTCTTATAGCAACATATGTACTAGGCAACTGACGCCCTATCGCTGATTCTCGACAAAATGCGTTTTCTTCGGTGTTATAGCGCATTCCCTAGATGACCCGTGAACGGTGAAACATTTCATCTTTGACCTGACCTGTGACGTCATCGGTGACCCCGAGGTCAATGAAATTTGGTTTTCCGCGACAAATTTGACAGGCCTTTCGAACGCCGTTTGAATTTTGCGGATCCGTCCAGTAGTTTCAGAGATACGAGGGGGGGCAAAAAATAGCCCCCCCCCCCCCACCAGGTCGCGTTATAAACAGACCCCACCAGGGTGCGGGTTAACCCATTTACGCCCTTCGTTGCGTTTTCGCAACACAAGCAAGCGTCGACGTGATCAAATCTTGAGAAGTGTATAATGGCGTCTCACCGATGAGACAAGTTTCAGCGCGTTTAGCATGGATCCGCGCATGATGCTATGCAGTTACAAGTCTGTGCGGCCGGTAACTTACCGTCCAGAGCTCCCAGAGGGAAGTCGAAGGTCCCGTCAGTGATGACGTCACGAAAACCAAAATAAGTAGATTAAGTGATTAATTATATCGTAATGAATAATGTGTGAACATATTCTGTAGAGTCCCTACAATAGCTAGAATATACATTTTATTAACAAATTATGCTGCAAATAGGGTTTGTGACTATTTTCAAATATGACTACAGTCGTGTTGCGGTAACGCAACGTTGGGCACATCGGAAAGACAGGGGTGTTGCGAAAATGCAACGAGGGGCAAATTGGCAGGGCAGCGGAAGTATAGGAACATCAAATAGACTTCACTTGAGATACGTTGTGGGTTCTTTCCTTCTCTCCCCAATCTTCCTCCTTCTCTTCCACGCGCCCCCAACTCTCTCTCCTTCCCCCCTCTCTCTCTCCCTCTCTCTCTCTCTCTCTCTCTCTCTCTCTCTCTCTCTCTCTCTCTCTCTCTCTCTCTCTCTCTCTCTCTCTTTCTCTCTCGTTTTGTAGTCGTGAGGGACGTGTAGGTATGTAATGTGCAAGGTGCATTTGCACGTGAATGTTGCGACACGTTTCACATTAACTCACTTAAACAGCTATCAAACACTCATTTCTTTTTCTCGCAGATTATCGGGCTATTCGAGCTATGGGTTTTCGAGCATCTGAAAATCGCATGGTAGGAAAAGGACCTGCATCAAACGGTCGGCGATGCTAACGGAGCTGAGAGATAGCGAGGTACTTTGAAAATTGGATCTACTTTGTAGTAAATAATGGGGACGTAGTCTGGTATCAGACGACAGATAGGCATTGTCATTCTCTGGATGCAATCCGCTGGCCCTTACGTTAGAAAAGATAACTCCCAGAAGCGGCAAATGTGGGATATGTCCCCTCGGGGGGGGGGGGGGCAACGGACCCCTTCGGCAGGGGTGATGAGGGCGTCTGGGAAAATAATAGTTTATTTTTAGAATTCATGGTTTGCACGGATTGATAAGGTGGTTGATGTGAAGCATTGCTTGTTTGTTTAAAGGGTAGGCCTTTTGTCTAATCAGACCATTTTAGAGCTAGAAGCATTATTGGAATTAGGTAAAACATTGGTCTGAGCGGG